CGTCCGATCTATCAGTGCGCGCGTTTGCGAATCTACTCGGTTGCATGAGAGGCGTGCGAATCGGTGGCGAACTAGTCGACTTACGCCATACAACTCACGGTTATCGGCCTAGTGATCCGAGTGAGTATCTCCTCTATCTCTAACCCCGACATTATCGCGATAACTCGTCCACCGTCTTCAGATCTCGTCCGTTCTGGTTGTGATATGGGATGCAATGAGTTGGATTGCAGGAACGGTGGTCATTGTTCGGTGTCATGGCGTGGTGTCGGCGCCAAGGTAGCGTGCGACTGTTCACGTACAAGTTATGCTGGTCCACACTGTACAGTCGGTACGACTTCTAATACATCTTTTTGTATCTCTGAAGCTAATAAATTAGTCAATTATTGATTCTTCAGATGAAGGCCTTACGCTCGCCTCAGATGCGCACTTCACGTTCGACGTGGGCCGCTTTTTGTCGCGTTACATTCTGACTCCGCAGAAGCTCACACAAAAGTTGCAATTCGCTTTCGCACCAGCGTCTCCGTCCACGACTCACCAGACCCTTGCCACCGTACTTTTCAACGATGAGAGGTACGTAGTTACAACAGGCATTAAAACTGTTCAGGACATTCGATCCATTCAGACTATTCGAAGTGGTCCTGAACAAGAACGGATCAATCAACGTCGGTATCGTGGATGACAACAAAAGAACTGTGGTCCGCACGTTTGCTGGCAATTTCTCCGAACGGTTATCGACATTTCTTTGTCGCTCGTTTTGGAGAACACCAGGCCACAACTGTAACTGTTAGTTGCTATTTTATCTTTGGATTTATGCAACCGATAAGCTAAACACTTACTCAAAGTCTCAGATACTATATGATAGACAACGCGCATTGCGGATGGCTTGTGCATTCACAGGAATTCATACGGACGCAAATTTCATAAAAAAGGCTTTCCCGCGGCTCTGCGCTGCTTGGAGGGAAAAGCTGCAGTTCACGCACGTAGCATGGGCGGGGTCAGGGTGCCACCCACCTCGTCTCATCATCATTACTGGTGCGCCCGATCATCCAAGGGTTGTGAAGAGAAAGAACCTGCCAATAGGCAAGGCCCAGTGGGGAAGTTAACGACCTCCCCCCCCTCGCTCTGTTCCCCCTCCCGGCGTGAAGATGACCTTGAATGAAACTCTGTTAACAGTGACTGGAACTATTGGGTCGGCCCATAAGTAATGGCGTTTTTTCCCACTCGATATATCGCGCCGAAAAAGAAAAGTTTCGCCATTGAGTTTTTGGACCGTTTTGCAGAGAATTTTTGCCTTACACGATAGTCTCTACGTTTACCTTCAAGTTTCTCTTTCCACTTAATACTAGAAGTGCTCAAAGTGGAGGTGTCGAAGGTCGAAGGAATTGGGCATTTTGACAGTCTCTGCTTTGTTATAGCTGCTAATAAAAAGGGCTACCAGTTGGCTACTGCTAAATTTATGGGCTGTGACTGGTTTTCTTGGGATGATAGTAGTACTGTCGATTGACTCGAATATTTCAGTTTTCCTCATTAACAGTACTAAAATTTAATGACTATTTTATCCACTGAGAGGCTCACGGGATTTACCTATTAACTGGTGATGATGCTAAAGATGAGGGATCGGAATAGAGGTCATAGAATGTTCACTTACACATGAAAGAGTTACCTCAAAGGATGTTAGACCTTCAAAGATAAGTGGGTAGGTTTTAGCAGGTGTTCCCTCCAAAGAGGGTCGCCATACGCGATACTATTTTAGCAAGGTTACGGATTCCCACATTGATCGGGGCTCGGAACCAATGGAGGCTCTTTTTTTGTCATAGTATCGATCGCGAACGGTTTTGAACTCTTCTGTTGATTGGAAAGGCCGAGATAGAAATTGGAAAGTAGTTGTCGGAAACTCTACTGTTGGTCCCGGAATTCCTTTCAATGAAATAAAAATCGACACAAGTCGAGAAATAGTAAAAGGCAATTATACTATCTTATAGTGCGGAAAATTATCTATCAAACAGTGTAGAACATATTGGGAACAATTGTCATTTTCCATATAAAAATTTGTGTGACAAAAACGCCATTACATTATGGGCCAACCTAATAGATTTGGGCTGTGTTTGGCATAAGGGGATGGGAATTTTCCTAGTTTGCTCGTTTTTCTAACTACTTCCTACTTCACTCTCTTCACCATAGTGGACCTGTAGACTCTCGTCGAGTGTGGACGAAGCTCGCGCTGTTGTATAGTTTCGCAAGCGATACGAGCTCTTCACAGGAGGCGTCGAAAGCTACTGATGGGAACCAACAAAATCTCCCCCCCCCCCTTACTGAGCCGTACTGCGCCCAAAAATTGTACCTGCACTTTTCGAGTTTTCGCGAGTGTGAAAAATACGATTGGTCTCCATGATGAGTATTTGTTGTCTTTGAAATCCCCCTAGCATCTGAAATCAGAGTACGTCCTGGCGTTAAGGGGGATTTATGCTAATTATTACCCACCAGCTTTTTTCGCTGATCGCATTCTCAACTTTGCAACTTGTCAGCGTTCGCAAGTTGCCTGTTTTCCCCAGCGCGACAGGAAAAGCTAATCAGCGAAATTTTTCCTAGACCAAATACGCCTTCGTCCCCTTCGACGAAGTATTGGGACCTCCCGTTGGGGATCTCAAACGTATGACGTGGCCTTTTTAGAATTGCATTTTGCCTATGCAGGCAACTCTATATCAACAACTAGGTGAAGTAGCTTACAAATACAATAAACTTTGGCGCAGTTTGGCGACGGGGGGGGGGGCATTTTGCACTTTTGCTACTTCCCATCGACGTGTCGACCTATCTAGACAGCCTCTTCTCGAGTTGACAGGTTTTAACATGATGGCTTGACGACCTTGCTCCAGCTTCACAAGAGTTCACAGGTTTGCCAGAGTGAGACTTGTAAACCGGAACTAAGGAAGCAATGATAGTACAAAATGCCCCCCGTTGCCGAACTGCGCCTAAACCTTTTCAACTTTTTAGGATAACTTCTTGAATTTTTGTGTTTCATGTGGACGCTGTTCGACACAGTTTCGACTTTGTGGCCGACAATTTGGATCTGTACAATGCCAAAGAAATCACCTTAGGTGGCCGTGATGTGGAAAAACAACAGCATCATTTCGCCAGCAGCAAAAATAAGTATAGTGGTTGTATATCAAGTGAGTGATTCTTAGTTTTCTACACGGAATTTTGCGATATCACAGGAGGGACATCTCACGATATTTGGTGGGGGAGAGCATGAATAGGGGTGGAGACACACAGCCGTCAGGCCTTCTTCATCTCCATTCTCTACCCCTTCACCTTGTCGGAGCGAGGAGCAGACCGTTGTGGAAGCCCCAGCGGTTGAAATTTCGGTTACATGCGTGGCACGACTGGAGCAAACTGGTGTTATATGGTTATTTCCTTTATCGTTCTATGCCCACACGGAACATCTTCGTCATTCATTGAGAAAACATTCATTCACTCCGAGGGTTCACCCACTCTTCTTTGGTCAATATCTTCCCGGGAGGTAAAAGGCACAGTTCACGCTGAACAGGGAGCTGGAAGGCCTCATCAGCAGCGGCCAAGCCGTTATAGGGAGGCATGTGGAATCACGAATATGCAATTCGGGGTTGCTGGGGCCTATGTGTTTCGTAAGCGATTATTCCAGTGGCGTTGGCACAGCGTCGTGCACGCCAGCTACAACTTCGCGCACACAAGAAAACAAGCGCCGAACCCAGCATGGCTAGCGCAACGGGCGCTCTTCTCCCGAGGCTACAACACAACTGCTGATAGCCACGACCTAGGAGTAAATGCTCCAACCACAGTGCCGTTCCACGAAGGGCCGTCACGTATGACGAGTACCCCGCTCGCGCGCGACAGCTCAGGCCGAAAAGAGTGGCTTGTGCTCTTAAAACGCTTGGCCTTAATCGATAATCCTGCAACATAGGCGATGCACTGAAATGGCCGGTTTGTGGGGGGGCAGTGTATGGGGCCGAAGCGCGGGTATTATTGCCGCCTTTTGCTAATTATCGAATCGACACCGTGGCCACGTCCATGTGGCCAGACAGCCTGTTTGTCAAGGTTTACCATGATGGCTTGACGAGCTTGCTCCAGCTTCACAAGAGTTCACAGGTTTCACCAGAGTGAGACTTGTAAACCGGAACTAGTGAAGCAGCGAAAGTGCAAAATGCCCCCCCCCCTGTCGCCGAACTGCACCGTCAGTTTGCTCATCCTCATTATGGGCGAAATATTACATTTAGGTTCGAAGATGCGCAGTAAATCTTACTCTTATTGGCTCTTTATGACAAATTGTCTTCAGATCTGGACATTGATTACGGTGTGCCAGCTCTTCATCTAACCCCGATCTCCTACTTGGATGACACCTTCCCGTCGATGACGAACTATAGCCGACTCAGTCCAGCTGTCATTGTGGCGAGAGGTGCATGTGCTCCATTCCAAATTCGGAACGCATTACCAGGTGAACACGTTTCTGACTGACTCCGCCCACACAAACAACGTGGATTATGCATTTTACTGACGCAGTAACTTCATTTTCAGTGTTTCGCGAACCAGTCGAACTGCCAGTATGGGAGACGAACTTTAAGCGGCTTGTTTACCATGACACCAGTGGTGATGCGGATAAGGGTGAAGAAGGCAAATTTTGTGAGTTTCAACCAATTTGCGCCAAGACAGCACTTTTTTGGACTATCTTGCGTAGGCGGAGGTACAGCGTTTCGCCGCAAGGCCAGTCTAAGGTTCTGAACTCATCTAGCCCCTCTGAGTACTTTATTAACCCAAATATTGCCCTAGTTGACAAGGAAATGGAAATGCCGACTGAAAATCGGTCACTCGACGTAATCAATAGTGAAGGTCTTAATTGGATCCCAAAATTTTTCCGATTACCGAAAAGATAAAAACACAGAATTATACGACACACCTTGAAAGGACATTAATCATTGTAATCCTTTATTATGCTAACTCTTTTTTTCATCGTGATATGAATTTTCTGAACGCTCTCAGTACCGCAAGTAATCCAGGGTGCAGTCAGAAAGTTCGTTCGAACGCAATTGGCAAAAAAATTATACAATACCTGACAAATGAGAGGCTGTCGATCTGCTGGACAAATAGGCTGATGCTACAATCTGAACTTGAAAACTGCGATTGGTTTGAGTGAGTTCAGAAGAAGCACAATGAAAACAAATGTAACCGCTGCAAAGGAGCGCGTGGCACCCAATAGAGATCGGCGTGTGACGTGGCGCGTATTGCGGGCACTGCCAGGCTAAGGCCATTTCTCCATTAAAGCAATTTTTTCAACGAAAGTCCCTAAGTAGGCGATATACGCCCTGCGGAACGGATTCCGCGTCTTGGAGCGCGCCTCGTAACAAGGAGATAACCTAATAAGGCCCCTATCAAACCCCGGCACAGCACACGCTCCATCGCGCCGCCCTACTCCTCAAAGTCGACGCGAATTGTCGACTGCTTCTGTCGGCTTCATTTGCGAAGTCACAGCATATAGTACAAAGGAAATTTGATAGAAGCGCGCTGCGGCTGCTTGCATGAACATTTGAAATTACGTAACCTCCTGCTTCGCTGCGGACCGTTGGGCTGTTCGCTCAGCAGTCATGACGTTGTGGTCACCGCACAAAGCTCGTTCTCTAGACGCCTTTCGTTGACGTCACCCGCATCGCGACAAAAACTGGCCAAGAAAACGAGTATTCACGAAATATTATACAGCATTTCACTTGTCCGCCTTCAACACCTGTGTGAGAGCAAACGAGTTTGGCGCCACCGTGCCAAACCGCCATCCGCCACTTGACACGCCCACACCCGGTCGGCAACGAACTACACTATACGTGCTCGCATCTACCGTAGCGGCTGTTTGCGCGATGCCACACGCAAACCTGCGTGTTCCGAACATCCCTTTCTGAGTCCGTTTGTAGGACAAAGACATTTCAGTCGTTCATCAAGTGTTTTCAACTCCCGCTTTTTAGTCCTTTTCCCACACTCGTGTACCAACCCTGTAGCCTATTTCAGACCGAGTACTAAATATCGTTGAGCCTTACGCCTTTGCGGCTATTACCATCGCTTGAGATTAGATTGTACTGCGACCCTCTTTGAACTGGCAACGCTTTCAGTAGAAGAGAGAGAGAGAGATTTTGTTAACCAATACAAGAGATTGAATGTTCTGTTTTCCCGAGATATTCAAGTTGCGAATTGACTATGGCAGCTTCCATGGACATAACGTTCTGTTCAGGGCGCTTCTCTCTTTGGAGAGGGTTTGGAGAATTTCCTTTTTGTAAAGTTGGGATTGCAGCGTCTCGAAATTTCGTTTGCACCCATATGGGGTGGTTCACTGCCTCACTTGCTTTTTGCCTCCGTAAACCTGAGCAGAAGCCTTCATGTCGTTTGAGTGGCACCAGTTCTGCTCAAGAAGTCTTTCAAATGTACACCTTAGGGCAAATAGAGCGTATCTTGGTATAATTGACAAGGTTTTTCCAGGGTTATGGACACTGTGCATTGTGATAGCTTTAATGTTGATATTACTGTTGGCAACTATTATCGTTTGCTGTTGTTTCTTGATCAGTTCACGGTCGGATAACAAACGTAAGCATTTTTTTACTACTGATACCATCTACCTTACCTTGATTAATTGCACAATCAATTTCCAATGTAAGATACTGGGTTGTTGCATAGGTAGCCCATCACTTTCTGTTCACACTCTCTTGTAATACTTCATTCAAATATCTCTCAAGGAAGTGAGGCTGGGAGGGAAACGTGGTGGACGGTCAGCCTATACCGTTATCGTTTTGAACTTTTCTCTGAAAACGCTTGAGCCTCTGAAGACGGTTTTTGCCATGTGCGAGGCGAACGGGTCTAACTTGTGCAAAAAAATGGAAAGGGAGGTGGAGGGTAGTGGTGCTGGGGTGCCGTCTCTCGACTTCTCTCGACTCTGTCCGCACTATGCTCACGGTGCAGAGCTTGCTCCAATACCAAAATATCGCAGCCAACACGCAGTTGGAGATAGAGAATAAGCAGAAGACAGAGAGGGCGCAGACAAGTGGTGCGTTTGGCCACAGTCAAAGGTACCTCGAAATCCCTGAGAATGTGGTAGCGATGACCTCGCGGTATTTCAGCTAAAGCGTGGCTGTGGCTTGTGTTTGTGTAGCAAGATACTTTCATTTTGACAAATTATGATCATTTCTCTGTCGACAACTGAAACAAGATGGACTGATATGTTCCAAATTGAAATATCCCACAGGGAACCCTTTATATGCCATGTGCACATAGCACGCCTACTCCGTCTCAGATATAAGGAGTGTATAGCCGTGCGGTAACGCGGGAAGAGTGCGGGAGATCCTGGCACTAAGGCAACACTACCGTGTTAACCTTCGTGCATTTTGTGACTGAGAGGAGGACGCTTACCGTTAGTTGCGGGAACCCATTCTCATAACACTGGCAAGACTAGGGATCTATGGTACAACAAGCCAATCGTGCACTTCATCTTAAGATAGCTGAGCAAAGATTCATACGGAGCATCAACAATTGTTTTGAAAGTCAATTTTTCCCAGACAGCGGAATCCAGCGACAAATCTGCATTCACTGCAGACTGTTAAACTCTCCCGTTCAGGTTTGGCGTGCACCGTGGCTAAAAAATGCGAGGAGAAAAATCCACGTTCCGGCCACTTGGTCATCTGGGCGGTACAGTCAATCAACCACTGTACCTTCCCAGAGCCCCTTCTTCTAGGATGGGGCGGAAGAGGGGAGGGACGCGTCAACGAGGACAGCTATGAGCGACGTGTTCTTCTCGGTAGACGGCTTCACATTATCGCGGCAAAAGACGGCGATGGTCTGCTGTGTTCCAGTCGGATCGGGTTTTTGTACTTTTTTTTCTTTTGCGAGTCTTTAGACAGATCCGGTAGCCTACTGCTTCTCCCTTCATTGAGCTTAGTGGTCGAAAACAGGCTCCGTGGCATGGTCTGGCTTTGATTCTTTGTTGTCTCGATCCTCCATCAACAGGCCTCAGCACACGACTCTTTTCAGGAACTAGTCTGTGCAGATAACACGATCAGTAACTAGAACCTACAACAAACAGGGATAAAAGAGGGTGCACGGTAAGGAAGGCATCAAAGGTCATCCTGGACGAGAGTGGGCCCTTGGTCACCGCCCCTTTCGGAAATGAAATCTGTGGGGAAAGCAATCCAGTGGATGACTGCGAGTTAGCTGAAGGCACGGCTCACGATCGCTTGTAAGTATCGGAGCTTTTTGAGGGGACGATAGTGGAGACCGCAGCGAACTACCCTGCACAACTTTCGCATCAGTAAGTTGCAAGGAAGCGGCGGTAAGACTCAAGGTTGTACAAGTGACACCGCAAAAATCCAGTGACTCCGCCCACATTGAGAGATGTCTTATCGGCCGAGAATCACGTCTGTCGCACAGGGAATGCCCGATTTCGAGCGTCTACGACCCTTCCCTTTCCTTTTTCGTTCACTAGCGAGTCAGTTGGCACGTACGCTTCTATTTCTAACCCCGATACCAACAAACTTCTCGCTGGCTAATCGCGAGTTCTGCCTTCAGCAAAAGGTATCCCACCTGCTCAAAATCAGATTTTTCACAAAGGCAGAAAACAGCAACAGAAAGTTCTGCGGGCTCCCGTTGCAATAATCCCGTCTTGGCTCTGTTTAACCATAGTACCGTAGATGGTGTGAAATGCGTCTATCAATCACATTTTCAGCCACACTCTCCAAAGACGAGGAAGAAGAGCAGCCACTACGTACTTTACCTCTAGCACCACCCCCGTCTTTAATCGAA